GATATAAAAACTTGACAGAGACATTACAAGAAAGCAAAATTATAAGTTAACATCTCCCATGAACACAGAATATTTTTAATATAAAAATATTAAACAAAATATTATCAAACAAAATCCAATGATATATATATATATATATAAAAAGATACTACATCGTTACCAAGCGGGGTTTATTTGAGGAATATAACATTGGTGTAACATTCAAAAGTCAATCAATGTGGGGCTGGCCTGGTGGTGTAGTGGTTAAGTTCTGTGCTCCACTTCAGCAGCCTTGGGTTCGTAGGTTCAGATCCCAGATGTGGACATACACACCTCTTGTCAAGCCATGCTGTGGTGGCATCCCATATATACAAAATAGAGGAAGATTGGCACAGATGTTAGCTCAGTGACAATCTTCCTCAAGCAAAAAAAATGGAGGGATATTGGCAACAGATGTTAACTTAGGGCCAATCTTTCTCACCAAAAAAAAAAAAAAAAGTCAATCAATGTAATTCCTCACATTAATTGAATAAAAGAGTAAAACTGTATGGTCATCTTAATAGATGCAAAAAAATTTGACAACATATTTATTATATACTTTTCAGCAAACTAAAAGAAAAAGTGAAGTTCTTTAATCTGATAAAGGTTAAAAAAATAAACACTCATGATTAACATCATACTTAATGGTAAGAGTGCTTTCCTTTTGAAATTAGGAATAAAGCAAGGCTGTTCATTATCATTACTTTTACAATTAACGTCATACATAAGAGTACAAAGACTTTTCTCCCTGAATTTAAGGATAAGACAAGGATGTCCAGTATCACAACTTTAATTTAACATTGTATGAGAGGTCCTAGCCAGAGCAATAAGGGAAGAAAAAGCTTAAATAAAAGATATAAACATTGGAAAAGAAAAAGTAAAATTCGTCTTTATTCATATATATTATATACCTTGAAAATCTAAAATAATGTACAAACTATTAAAATTAATCAATGACTTTAGTAATAACACAAGGATACAGGATATGAGGACGATATATTAAAATCAATTTTACTTTGGTATTAGATATAATTCAATATAAAGATGGTATACTAGCAATAAATGGAAAATGAAATGAAAGTACCATTTACAATAGAATCAAGAGCATCAAATACTTTAGCACAACACTAACAAAATATGAGCAAGATACCTCCACTGTCATCTATAAAATAACACTGAGAGAAATGAAGGAAGATCTAAATAAATGGAGAGACATACAATGTAAAAGGAGTGGAAAACAATATTATTAAGAGGTCAATTCTCACCAAATTGATCTATAAACTTAAGGCAATTCTAATCAAAATCCCATCAGGGTTTGTGTGTGCATGTGCATATGTGTATAAATCGATAAGTTGATTCTAAGATTCATGTGGAAAAGCTGAGGACCTAAGGGGCCAAGACAATTTGGAAAAAGAAGAACAAAACTGGTGGGCAAGCATTACCATATTTCAAGACTTACAGTAAAGGTAAACTAATTAAGACAGTGCAGTATTGGCACAAGGATATGTACATAGACCAATGAAATAGAATGGAGAGTCTAGAAATAGATCCACAGATAGATGGTCATTTGCTTTACAACAAAGGTGCTGTTGCAAGCCAAGGGATAAAGAAGGGTCTTTTCCATTATGATTCTGGAGCGTCTGGATATCTATGGGGAAAAAAATGAACCTTGAACCAACTTCATTCCACACATGAATAGAAGATAGACCAAAATATAAAAGAAAAAACAAAAAGGCTTCTAGAAGGAAACATTTGACAATAGGTGCCTGACCCTGAGGTAGATGAAGATTTCTTAAACAAGACCCTAAAAGCCATATGATTAATATTTTAACTATAAAAGAAAAAATGGATAAATTGTATTTCTTTAAAATTAAGAAAATAAAAATATAAGCCCCAAACTGGGAGAAGATATTGAAACTACGTATATCCAATCAAGGACTAATATCTAAAATATACAGATCGATAAGTAAAAGACAAAGAACTCAATAAATTGGTCAAAAGACTTGAAATGGCACTTCGCAAAAAGGTATTCAAATGGCCAATAAGCCATTTGAAAAGGTCAACATCATTTGTCAACAAAGAAATACAAAATAAAACTACATTGAAATACCACTACATACCCATAAGAATAGCTAAAATTAAAAGCACTGACAATGCCAAGTTATGGCAGAGAAGTAGAACATCTGGAAATCTCAAATACTGCAGGGGAGACTGTAAATTGGCACGACCACTTTGGAAAGCTGTTTGGTAGTATCTACTAAAGCAAAACATGTACTTACCCTATGACCTAGAAATTCTACTCCTAGTTACATATCCAAAAGAAAAGAATGCTTATGTCTATCAAATGTCCACAGTAGCTTTATTCATAGGTGCTAAAAACTGGAAGCAACCCAAATGTCCATCTCCAGGAGGAGGGACAAATCATGTTATATTCAGGCAAGGGAGCAATATACAGCAATAAAAAAGAATGACTTATTAATGTGTGTAACAATATGGACAAATCTCAGACATTATTTTGAGTAAAAGAAGCCATACATTAACAGACACATACTATACTGTATGATTCCATTCATATGTATGAATTTGAGAACAGGCAATACAAATTGATACTGAAAGAGGTGAGAGTAGTGGTTACATCTAGAAGATGAGTGGTTATTGCCAGAGAAGGTGTATAAAGAAATCTCTGAATACCAGAACTGTTCTATATCTTAATTTGGTGGCCCACCCTAATATATATTGAGCCGACACTGTATGCTGCGTGCCCTGTGCGCACATGGCAAATGAGAGAGGCATGTTTTTTTTGTAGCTTGTATTGAAGTGAGGAAGACAGATATGAGACACCTAACTTTAGTGACCTGCATTGGATGCTGTGGTATAGGAAGTAGTGGTGGCTCTAGGGATACAGAGCAGGGAAACTCCGTTATTCCAGGGATGAGGGGAGACTTCCTTGAGGAAGAGATGGCTCAAGTGAGAACCCTTAGGCATTAGGCAGGGCTAAGAGGATTGGGAGGAAGAGAACAGTATGTGCAAAGGCCTGGAGGTGAGAGAGTGAGAAGGAATTAAATATTTGGTACGGCTGGAGCAGAGGGGAAAAGAGGATGAAGAGGTGAGGCTGTGGGGTTCAGCAGGTGCCTGCTCTTTGGTGACTATATGAGATGTGTTAAAAGAGTTTTAGTTTTTCTAAGGATGTTGGGAAGCCAGAGCATGGTTGTAGGTAGGAAAGAGTCAAGATCACGTTTACATATTAAGAAATGAGTCTAGGAAGCTGAGCAGTTGAAGCCTTTGAGGTGGTCCAGGTGAGAGATGCTGGGGGCCTGAAGTAGGGAAGGGACAGAGGAGCTGGCCAGCAGGGTGCTGATGGTAGAGACCTGAGGAGGTGGAACCGAAGACCTTGCAATGGCGGTTATGCTGGATGAGGAAGAGGGAAGAGACTTTCAGGACATGACTTGTTTCAGCACTATTAAGAAAGGAATGTAGTTCCAGACCCTAGAGAAAGCCAGGCACCTCAGGAGTTGTTGTTTGATTTCATCTCTGAATTTCCAGCGTCACTTCGTTGCTTCTCAAGGCGTCTTGCTCCTGAAGAGAGCCTTTCATTGCAGGGTGAGCCTTGGCAGTTGAATTTGCTGAACTCTTTCGTGGGCGGAGTTGGGGTTGGAAGGAGGGAGCCAGGTGCAGGTGGAGGGCTTCCTGTAACGCGTCAAGCCCTCCAAGTCTTCCTCCCTCCTCCCACTCAGCAAGTAGGTTCTTTTCAGTTCTCTGATGAGGTAACGACGACAGAGAGATTTAATTACATCCATCGTGTGAGATATTTGTGGATGGGACTATTAGAGGATTCTCCTTCCCAGGAATTTGAGTCCTGTTCTCTGACGTATCCTAGTTGGGAGTCGGTGAAAAGGGATGTGGAGTACACAGCGCCCCCTCACCCCAGGCGGGGTGGAGAGAGCAAAGCGAGATGAAGACTACTATCAGTTGGGTACAAAACTCGAAACTCGAGGAATAAGAAGTTTAATATCTATTGGTCTGCAAATCCAGAGAGCCTGGGGCCTCACTGGGTTCCTTTCCACTGAGCCCCGCCTTGAATCAGAAGGGGATTTGGAAGCTAACAGCTGCCCGCCGCGAATACCTTTAATGCCCAGGCCGGGAAGAAAGCGGGTTAGGATCTGATCTCGCTGAAGCGAGGACCCAGGAGCCTCCCCACCTTCGGTGCTCGGTGCGGCGGGGGCGCGCTGCGCGCTGCGCCTGGGCAGGCGGCTGCGGCGGCGTGGGCGCGGTGATGCAGGTGTGACACCCGCCGACTCCTGCCTCCGCCCGGATCGCCCCAGCGCAGCGTTAGCTCGAGCTGCCGGCGGGGCCGCCAGGGCAGACGCTGCTCCGTCCGCACCCGGAGGCGGCCTCCGGCGGAATTCCCACCCAGGTAGGGGACGGCGTTGCTCTCTCCGGCGCGTGCAGCCCCGGCCGGGGCACGGACCCCGCGCGCTCCTGGGGGATCCCCAGCTCGCCTGCCGGGGCTGAAACGTACACGCTGGTGCCTCTGAATGTTGTTTATAGTAAACGGCACAAAAGACAGCGGAAGGTCTTGGACAGCCGGCGCAGAAAAGCAAGGACTTGCCGCTGCCTGGGGCTGCGCGCTTCTTGGAAGGTGGCATCCCCAAGGGCTGTTTTTAAACCCTGTTTGAACTGTTAGCGCCATTCATAGTTTTGCAACTTGGGCTACTGACATTTATAACTCCGTTTCCACAAGCTTCCTAGCCACTGCTTTTAGTTTCAATTCTATTCCTATTAGATGGATTTTGTTGTTGTTGTTGGTTTGTTTTTAAAGAACAGATTAAAAACATGCTTCCACCTGGTGGCTCTGGGTTGGGGTTTGTGAGTATTTCTGTATGTGGAGGGCGCCCTCCGCGGGCGTGGGAGCCGTTTTCTTAGGGACCCAGAGAGGATTTGTTGATAGATGGATTTTAGCGCAAGGAAAAGAACATGATTTGTTCTGCAGGGATGGGTGAGCAAACGCGTTCAGGCAGGGAGGAGCGAGGCACCGCCGTTTCTTCCGCAGACGGGTGTTAGAAATCTTTGCTGTCCAGGGCTCAGCCGGGCTGCTGAAACACGATCCTTTATCCAGAGGTCACAGATGCAAACTAGCTCCGTTTAAAGGTAACTTGAAGCCGGTGTCTTGGGCTTTGATAAGAGCCGCCCAGGTTGGGTGGGGTGGTGCGCTGAGAGGTGCCTGCTCCTCTTTTTTTAAAGCCTGTTTGAGAGGTAAATGTGGGTGACTTTGAGGATCAGGGCAGGTGAGGGATGAGAGGTGTGTGTGTTTGGGGGAGAACTGGGTACTGCAGCCAGCTCAATGGTCACTCTGGGCTCTTCTGTGTGTCTGCCTCCTGCCCTTCCAGGAGAGGTGACTTGTCCTGCTTGCTCCAGTCCATGCAGTAGATACAGTGCAGGCTCATTCTGCATGTTTCTTGAGTCAGCAAATACTGAGCACCTAGTGTGTGCCAGAGGCCGGATTAATCCTTGGGGATGCAGACATGATGAAAACAAAAGTCCCGGCTCCCCAGAAGCTCACACCTGGTTGGGGAGAAACACCTGTAATAATGAAGTGCGATAAGTTCAGTAATGCAGGTGTGAAAAAAGAGTGGTGGGAGCGGAGAAGAGGAAGGAATCAATTGTGGCAATGATTATTTTTACAATGAAGCCCTCAGAGATGGGGCATTACACGGATTTCAGTAGGAACTGGGTCCCTCCCTTGGTCCCTTGGTCTGTGAGTGACCCACATCGCTCTCCCACCCCATTTACATCAGGGCCGCTGGATGGGCAGAGTTTTCCCAGTCACAGCAAGGCTGGTGTTCGCCGTACGTGACCAGACCCCAGTAGACACAGACACAGGCTGACACCAAAGGAGGAGGGCGCCCAGAGCAGGTCAGGCTTTTTTGTTTTTTTTTAATGGATGGTTTTCCTAAATTCCAGAGCCAGGAAGGTTTTGAAGCAGTACTTCACAGGTCAGGGATTCTGGAAAATTTTGAGGGATTCTCAGAGCAGATGAACTTCTGCCTTCTTCCCCCCTGGATCCGTGACCTGTCTGTGCTTGTCCCAGCCCAGTTCAAAAGGAAAGCTCTGACCTTGATTATATCTAAATGGGTAGAATAGAGGAAAGCTGAAACCATTACCACCAGTCTGCTCTGGGAGATGGAAATCCAATCTCAGGAATATTTCTTCCTGGACAAAAGCTGTGGTGGGTGATGAAAAATGACAAAATGCAGAGCTCTTGTGTTGTGCATGTTTGCCAGAGATGCATATCACGTGCATTTTGTAACCTAAGCCATCATGGAGGTATGTGAAAAGCAGGCTGGCGCACTGCAAGGAGCATGGGCTTTGATGCTCAAACAGACCCAGGTAAGTGTCTTGGGCAGGTTACTTAGCCTCTCTTTGTGCTTTGGTTTCCTGATCTGTAAAATGGAGATAACAATAGAGTTGTTATAATAATGACATAGTAGCTGCTTAAAAATATATGTTCATTGTGAAATGATTGTCGTATATAGATTGCTTGGCACAAAGTAGGTACTCAAGAAATGGCAGTTTGTTCATTGAGTACTTACTACGTGTCAAGTACTGCTCTATGTGTGGGGAATACAGAATTGAAGTAAATAAAGTCCCTCAAGGAGGTTAACTTGCGTGTGTGCAAGATAATGGACAAATAAATAAGTAACTAGTGTATCAGCCGATGACGCATTATAGTGGAAAGAAATAAAGCAGGCTAAGTGGAGTGGAGAGTGCTGCCAGAGGGGGGGAGGAGGGTTGTTATTCTTTTATGCAGCTTGGTCAGGGAAGGCTTTGCTGATAAGTGACATTTGACCAGACCCCTGGGGAGGTGAGGGAGCCAGCCAGGCAGATGTCTGAGGAAGAGCATTCTGGGCAGAGTTACAGCACCTGCAAAAACCCTGATGCAAGAGAGAGGTGTGTTCATAAGAAAATCAGAAAGGAGGGCAAGGAGGCTGTGGTTGAGTGAGTGAGGGGAGCAGCAGTAGGACTTGAGGTCAGAGGGTAATGCGGCAAGGTCACTGGGGTCGTGCCTCTTATGATTTATATTTGTCACTAAGATTTATGACCTGAGCTCTGGTTTAAGGAATTGGCGGGAATCCTACACTCTATGTTTAGAAGAAGGCTGGCTGGTAGACATAGGTTCCTGTGGTCACTCAGAGTGTAAATGAACGCAGCAAGAAGAGGTATAAATCTTTGCAAGGCGACAAGAAGCACAGGAATTAGGCAGACAGTGCAAAACTGTTCAGATATCTTTCATCCAGATCAAGGACTGTATTTGTGCTTCTGTTGAAGCTTAGTATTTCGTTTGTTTCCTTTCCCCCATAATGAAAGAAAGGGTCACCTTTAGTGAATGGTCCTGCAGGTATTGTCCTTGCTGGTTATTATTCTTTTTCCTTTGAGAGTGATAATAGTTTCTACGGTTATGGAAAGGTGTTGGAGTCAACTGGAAATGTACCGGCCTTTGGTGTACCATGGGCTGCATTTACATAATATCACATGACACATTTATTTGAGACGTCCTCCCATCTTGTAGGCTTCATATGAAAGTCACAGTTTGCTGCCATGCCCTTTTGAGGTTTGTTCCTCTCGAGAGCGTGTCTGGGGAGTTGAGAGCTCCATCCCACAGCTGTCCGTGGTGCGGTCGGGCTACTGCAGTGTGTTCCACGGACAGAAATGGGACTGGATGCCTGAGAACCTTGTCCAAGTTTCTCTGAAATAGGATGTGGTGAGGCTGGGTCACAGTCAGGGTGGCTGGGTGGGTGTCCCCCAAGTCACCGCAGAAGGTGACATTTACCTCTGTGAATGTCCCCCAATGCTTTTAGTCTTGCTGCCTCAGAAACCTGACCTGTCTCTCGAGGCCACATCACAGTGACCTTGCTCACCTGTATGCCGGTCTGTTGATTTGCAATGGCTGAGACACAGCGTGGCATGGTTAGTGTGTCTTCTTCCTGCAGACCCCCTTCATGAGAACTAAATCACAAGGAATTTTCCTGATGAGCACGTACTCAGAGCAAAGCAACTTAGATGCAGACCTTTGGGACTGATCACACACATTAGAGCTGATCTTGGCAACACATGTGCCAATCACATGTACATATCCTTGTGCCAATACTGCACTGTCTTAATTAGTTTACCTTTACTGTAAGTCTTGAAATATGGTAATGCTTGCCCACCAGTTTTGTTCTGTGGGTTTGCTGGGCAGTTCTGCAGATCTGGGTTGAGCTTGGTTGATCTCAGCTGCCTTTGCTCAAGTGATTTTGGTCTGCTGATGGAGTGGCTGAAGGCTGGCTGCTTTAGGGTAACCTCAGCTGGGATGACGTGGCTCTGTTCCATGTGGCCTCTCATCCTCCAATAGGTGAGCCCAGCGTGTTCACGTGGTAGTGGCAGGAATCCAAGAGAGAGTGGAAACTCACATGGCCTCTTGAGGCCTAAGCTTGTAACTTCCACACTGTCACTTCATCCTGTCTATTGACAAAAGTAAGTCACAAGGCCAGCCCAGAGTGAAGGAGTAGGGAATGGACTGCACTTTTTGTTGGGAGGAACTGCACAGTCACATTACAAAGAGCATTGATATGGGGAGGGGAAGAACTGGGGATATTTTTGCAATCAATCTACCATAGGGACCTCAATACTTAAGGTCCCCTTGGCTAAGACTTCTTTTCTCTTGAGCTCTGCTTGAATGAGCAATGTCTGCAACTTGGCCTTTTTTTCTTTTTCTTTTTTTCTGTGTTTCCGTGGCTGACCAACTGTAGACATATTTTTCTTTAGCCGGTCATTCATTCACCAAATATTTATTAAGCATTCTCTATGTGCCAGCCATGTTATAGGCAGACGATACAGCAGTAAAAATAACAAGATCTATCCTCATGAAGCATTCATCCTAGTTGGAGGAGACACATAATATGTGCGTAAACAAGTAAATGTGTAATACTAGATGATGAAAGAACCTCAAGCAGGGAAGGGAGGATGGGGAGTGCCTGGTTGAGTGGGGGTTGGGGGTAGGGTGGAGTAGGGGGTGGGCATTTTATATAAAGTGATCAAAGTGTCATGAAGGAAGTGAAAGAGTGATCCATATGGAGATCTGGGGAAAGACTCTTTCAGGTAGGGAAACAAGTGCAAAGGCCCTGAGGCAGCAAAGTACTGGCATGTTCTAGAGCAGCAAGGAGACTCATGTAGAAGGATCTGAGAGAGGGTGAGCATGGTGGAAGATGAGATCATAGAAATAGCAGGGAGCTAGGTAATACCGGGTCTTATAGGGCCTTGTATAGACTTTGGCTTTTACTCTGAGTGAGATGGGAAGCCACTGGAGAATTTCAAGCACAAGTTGCCATTATCTGATTTATGTTTTACAATGATCACTTGAGCTTTAGCTCTTAGAATAGACTCTGAGGGCTCAAGGGTGAAAACAGGGAGATCAGTCAGGAGGCTACTACAATGATCCGGCTGAGAGATGATGGTGGTGTGGACCAGGGTGTAGTGGTCATGGTGAGAAGTGGTCAAATTCTGGATGTATTCGATGATAAAGCAGATAGGACTTGCTGATGGGATAGATTTAGGGTATGAGAAAAAGAAGGGAGTCAAAGATGACTCCACATATTTTGACCTGCGTAACTGGAAGGAGTTGCCCTTTACTGACGTGGGGAAGGAACAATTATGGGGTTCAGTTGGACATCCAATGGGAGGTGTTAAATAGACAGTTATATATATGAGTCTAGAGTTAAAGGAAGAGGTCCTAGAAGGAGATATACATTTGATTATCATTAGCATGTTATTTATTTGTCCCTTCGATGAGCGAAGTCACTGCTGTATTATCAGTGCCCAGAATATTGCCTAGCACATGTATGTGCTCAGTGACTATTTACTGAATGAATGAATGGAACCATTTAATCACTGGAGATGACTGCAGATCTTTGCTTCAGTGGATCTAGAAGTGTGACTCCCTGAAGTTATTTCCTTTGTTTCCAAGGTCTCATGGGAGCCTTATTGTAGATTTTGTGGACTAAAAACAGATTTTAAATGTGAAGACTCCAGTTGCTTATAGCTTATAGAAAGCAATGCTTGGTGACAAGTAAGAAAGAGAAACAAGTGGAAACTGAAAAATAGCTCATACTTTC